CATTTTACTTTAAAAAAGTTTTACAGCGTGGCTTCCGGCTTCGCCTAGGTTTAACAGTGTTATTTTGAGCTTGTCCCTCGACTCCTGCGAGGGGAGGATAAGAAGAGGGAAGGGGTGGGGGTTGCCAGAACACTGTTTCCCGGAGAGGGCTCGGGGTGTGATTGGATAGAGGAGAGATTCGGATCTCAGCTTATGCCGCGGTCGGTCCAGGGGACTTAGTGCGGCATTAGGGCGGCGACGAGGAACTCACCGAAGAAGACGTTGAAGATGTAGAGGAGTTTCTTCTTGCGGAAGTCGGAGATGGAGGCCATGGCGAGCTGGGCCTGTGGGCAGAACGGACAACCTTCATATAGCCGAGCTCGCTGCGGGATGGGCAGGAAAAGAAAGATTATTGGCAGAAAACAGGATATAAATTTCGCTTATGCTGTTCACGCCTGGTACAAGTGCCACCGTAACGTCAAACAAAAGAGTCCGTACAATTTACTATAGAACGGCTTTCGCTTATATTGTTTTATTACGCCAACTTGTTAACAGCACACGTACTAAAAACCCAACAGCAGTGTGCATTTCACACTGAGTAAAGTGTCCATGACATGCACACTGCACGCGCGCTTGGAGTCTAGCATGCTATTTCAGTGTTTTCAATGTGCACCCAAAAAGAAAAAAAGCTTATCTTTTGTTTCCAACCGAAACATTCCCGCTCGTTCCCACTGTCCCGGTGGCGCCGTGTCGTTGCGTTTAGACGGATGGACGCGCGCCGAGTCGCAGAGCTCCGAGTTGTCACGGGGGCGGGACAGCGGGACGGGACCCCCCGGCTCTCTCCCGCAGAGCTCTACAGTTGTTCGACTCGTCAGCTCCGCCGTCCCCAACCCTGATGGCATGCGACCCCACACACTCACCACCGAAACCAGTACCGCCCCCGCAGGAGGCGGGCGAGGTCTAAATCCTTAGCGACGCTAGGCTAGACCCAAGCCACGGCCCTGGCGGCAAAGCACAGGGCACCCCTAGGGTCCTTGTTACGCCAACCCGCGCTGTGTGCTCTCTCCCTCGCTCTCCCGCCCAACACAACCACACTCCTAAAGGTTGGGCGCAGCCCTCAGTGCCCTCAGGAAGAGGCACACACACGCGCGCGCGCACACACACACACGTCGTGCCCGTTTCTGTTACCGGCGGTAAGCCCTCCCCCCTCGGTGTACAGAGGGCCTAAGTGACTGCAGTTAAGCGGAAGGGCTTTCGGGTGAGAGCCTCCCGCCCCTCTCCCGCCCAGCGCGACTGAGACAATCTCATTCCCATAGAGGCGGAAACGATATTCACGTGAAATAAAAAAAATAAAAAGGTTCTCCACAGAAATTTAACCTTAAATTTACCCCATTTCGTTTTTAACACAACAAGAATATGAATAATAAGCCCCCCTCCCCCCCACCATCCCCGACAAAACACCAAAACCAAAAAAACCTACAGTGGTTTTTTTCAGACTGGACGTAGAGGAATGCGGGGGAGTCCAGTCGCTCACAGGCGCCGGCGTTAAGTTTGCGAGCACTACCCCCTCCCCCTACCCCCCTGGCCCGCACCACTGAGAGCTTATGACCACCCCCTCTCTCACCTCCCCTCCTTTCGACCCATCTTCCAGTGCTGCGTGGGTCTGTCCCGTCCGCCTGTCGGACTACTGGACGTGGACTAGGGTAGCGACGCCACCGGTGCCGGGGCGGGGCGGGGCGGGGCGTGGCGGGGCGTTGCGGGGTGTGGCGGGGTGTGGCGGGGTGTGGCGGGGTGTGGCGGCGAGCGGTGCGACGGAAGGCTGCGCCGGCGCCGCGCTCGCGTCCGAGTGCACGACTGAAGATAATTAATGTACAAACAGAGCCCCCCCAGCCGTACACAGAGTCTTGTCCAGCAGCGCGAGACCTAATGGCGACTCATTAGAAGACACCCCTTCGCCTAAAGCCCGCCCCGTCCTGGAGCGGAGGCCGACGTGCTGGACAACTCACTATGGACACGGAAAAGAGTGAATGTCGCACACTTTTAGGTGTGTGAATGCCGCACACTTGAGTGAATGCCTACACCGACATCCCAGGTCAAGTACAGGGTAAAAATGTCCAGTGTGAAGGTAATTTGTTTTTGTTATGGGGGTAACATTATCGCAGGCATATCGCGCGATAATCTTACCCCCCCCCCTTCAGCTCAGCAGGGGGGTACAATCATCGCAGGCCAGGGCGCACAATAATCTTACAGTTGGTAAGCGCCTGCTGCTCCATTTCTTATTTTTTGAAACGAACACTGCAGAATTAGGGAACTCATAAGGGTGCAGTACTCATAACTGTACTATTCCGCATTTCCGCGTTTTAAGACCCAAAGACACCAGTCACAAGTCACACTCGCCCTCGTTGACCTCGACGCGCCCTAACAACAAGATCTTATCTGCAGCGCTCCGAATACACAGGATCCTATCTGCAGATCGTCGAATACAGAAGATCCTATCTGCTAAACGGGGTTGGGTGCGGCCCGTCACCTTTGTGTTGTTTGCAAGTAACTTGAAGACATTAAGGCCAATCTGCGCACACGGAAAGAATCGTAAAGGTCCAATGTTCAATTATTGACTGCAAAAAGTGAAGTAGAAAGTAGAACGAGCGGATACGGAGTAATATAAGCACTTCTTTGGAGGTATCCCAAAACCCCCGTTTTGCAGATAGACTTTTGTGTATTCGGCACTCTGCAGATAGGATCTTGTGTATCCGGCACTCTGCAGATAGGATCTTGTGTATTCGACGATCTGCAGATAGGATCTTGTGTATTCGGCGCTTTGCAGATAGGATCTCGTTGTTAGGAGGATGCGTCGACCTCCGCTCACGAGATACCCTTTGCAACTATCGCAGCCGAGATAGGAGAGAGAGAGAGAGAGGGGGAGAGAGAGAGAGAGAGAGAGAGAGAGAGAGAGAGAGAGAGAGACAGAGGGGCCCCGCCAGCCCCTTATCGCATCAGGACACCGCGGTCGCAGATCAGAGGGTGCGGTGCAGTCAGTGTTGTGGCACCTTGCGCAAGGCCGATACCTCCCGGAGCTGCGTACTGTTGGAGCGTCCGCCGCTAAGGTCATAGTCAGGTCCTCCAGGTCGCTACGCTGTAGTGGGATCTACATCCCAGGTCCAGCACCCCGTCCTCCCCCGCCTTCACACGAAGATGCTGCCGCTGGACACACCGCGGGCCTTCGCGGTGCTGCTGGCGCTGCTGGTGGCGACGAGCATGGCGACGAGCCAGGAGACGAGCACGACGACATTCATAACAACAACAAGTCCGCCGCCCGCGCCTCCGCCCAAGCCCGACCCAGCCTGGCAGGAGTACCTGCGCTGCGCGGACGAACGACACGTGAGTACTCGTTCGTGTCCTGGTGCTCCCGAGGAGCTCTGAGTAGGGCTGTACGATATCCAGGTTTTGATATCGCGATACGATATCGATCATGTATCGAGCATCGACTCTCGATAATATCGAGTGATTTCGCAATATCGAACCATATCGAGGAACGGTGTGTCTGAAAATGTCCGATATATCGCGGTATATCGTAATATCGAGCAGCATCGATATTTTGATATTGCGATATTTCGTGGTATCGAGCAACCTCGATATTTCAACATCGATATCAGGAGCATATCGAGCCTTCGATATATCGTGATATCGCCCAGCCCTGGCTCTGGGGCGACGCGGGAGCCGGCCCGCGCGCGCACCAGTGCTTCCCCTCCCTGACCGACCGCCGCGTGTTGCAGTGCGTACGCCACAGAACCAAGTGCGGCTGCGCCTCCTGGGACTTCAGGTGCTGGGAGATGTGCAAGCGCAGGTGCAGCTGCGGCTGCCTGGGCGTCCCGCAGACCATCCTGGACCACGACGTCTGGGACGACTGCGCGGCGGCCTGCGGACTACGGGGCACCCTTGCGTCCACGTGTTTGTGGAAGTGCGGGTCCCGGGACCAGGGCTGCACGAACCTGTGCCGCGCGCGCTGCCGCTGCGAGTGCGTCGGCAGCCGGGACCGGGACCAGGCCGAAAGCAACGCCGTGTGACCGGGCTGCACCGCGGGGAGCGGGACAAGTTACCCGAGCACGCACGTCGCCACTCATTGCAGTTACATTTTAATCAAACGTGTAATCCAAAGGAAAATATAATAAACGTCTCAACAAAGTTCCACTCGCGCCAAGCCTCCGTTCACTTTCCTCCCCTAAGTCATTACAACATTGGGTCGAACATTGGTGATCTCATGATAAACCATCTCATCTTCAAAATTGTCTTAGACACAAAATATCAACAGTTTCGGCTCCAACTGGACGATGCAGACCATTTCGGTGTGAAGGATTATTCTGAATCGGGTGGGTCTGCGACTGTCAAAAAAACCCTAATAGAAAACGAAGGTCCTCCGGAGTCCCAATTTTGAAATCCCTCCGTAAGTCCTATCCCAAATCCCCCAGAAGTACCAAAAGGGGGCAAAACGGGACTTAGGGATTTGGAAGAATCCCAGCCTCTGAAGTCCCGCGGAAGTCCCTCCGTGGGTACCCTCCAGTCTGTACTGCAAAGCGCTACAGCGCTCCTATTTGTCTCTAACTACGTCGAGTATGTATACCGATACACACACATGTAATGTATCTACGGCCCATCTGATGTCGTCTGACGTACTTAAAATTGTCCAGGAAGCC